CTGATGGATGCATTGGGGGTGAAAATGGCAGGCTGGAGGAGCTGAGGATCAAACCACCAACCCGTCTGAGCCACAGCCGTCCAAAATGCTTGCATATGAATTATTGGTGTAATAAATATAAAATACAGTCATTACTTTCCGTAGGAATTTAATATCACAATAATAATGTATGTTTTCCATATAAAAGCATAAGATATAAGAAAGTACATAGGTTGCAGGCAAACAGATATGTGTGTGTGTGTTTTAGTAATTTGTGTGTGCGCGCATCATGCTAATTGAAAGAAGTGGAGCTCTCTCTCTCTCCCTCTGTGGCACTAATGAATCTCCACTTTAATTAATCTAGTCATTTTTAATTAGCCAATGTTTCTTGGTAGACTGGGCTTTATCTGAGCTTAATATGTTTCACAGGAGCTGCTTTGACTCGTCAAAGCTGAATATTTGGGTGTCTGGCTCATTTTGTAAAAGCTAAATGGATTTTAGTTTGTTAGTTTCATTAATCTTGTTATAATTGTTCTCTGGAAACGAAAAGGAGTGATGGGGCTTTTTTTTTTTAATAAAGTTAGACAACGTGTAAAAAATTCAGACACATTTAAGATAAAATATTTGACCTGTCACAAATTGAAAAATTTGCGTATGTATTGACTAAAAGCTGTAATCATTTCTCTTTGCAAAAAAAAAAAAGACTGAATTCCTCGTTTTTAATAATAGGAGCGTACTTTTAATCATCGCATTTTTCAAGGTTTTTCCCCCTTCAAGACTTTCTGTAATTTCTGCCACGTATTGTTCTCAAGCATCTCAGTTTGACTCACGTTCACCTCCTGAAGAATCCGACAGGAAATAAAAACAAACAAAGCATACCGTAGTAGTCGCAGGGAAGTATAACACACTAGAGTGATCTCAGCAATTCACAACAAAGAGCCCATTTCTGTACTCTAAGAAAAGAAAAGTTTCTATGATGTTAAGGGTTTGAATGCTGCTTCTTTCTCTCTGGCTTTGACAGAAGAGTTTTATTTTCTGAAGAAGCTTAGAAAGAAAGACAGATGTGACTAAAGAGTCTTTAAATTCACCATTTCCTCTGATATCCTTTCCCCTTACTCATATGTCCTTAGATAGTCTCTTTCGCTCTTGCCTCCTCTTCTCTCTGCTCTCTCTTTCATGGTTGCCAGGATGAAAGTGGAGGATCGGTGTTGTAAAAGCAAGGCAGTGCTGGGCTATGATTTATTTAGACCCAAAAGGGCTGTGGTTACTATCCCATCCTTTTTGCCTGGAGAGACAAGAGACAAGAGAGATTTGGGGAGGTGGAATGGGGGAGAGGGGTGTTAGCAGAATGGAAAAGGGACCGA